TGTTGTTGTAACCGAATAAAACATTCTCCAAATAATTTTAAATTATCCTTCCGAGTTTACATTCTTTAACCGCATATATGCACATACTTCCGGTGTGTTCCGGTTTGGTAGACCAGAAAATCCTACACACAATATATTTTGACGTGCCGATATACTCTCCTTTAATTAAATTTTTCTTTAAATTACGCTGAAGTTCTTCAAACATACCGCCACTTTCTGCATTTCCGCTGAATAAAATAAAATCTACATTGGCACCATTCTTTTCACCACATTCCACAAACTGACACTTGCCAACAGCTGTTCGAAATGTATTGTTTACATGGTGAGAAAAGAAACAAATCTGCCGATTCAGTCTTCTGCTTCATTAGTGTTAACCAAAAAAATTTTGCATTAAACACGAAAATAACATAATGACATTTCTATTATGTATCAGTGATTTGTCGAAACATCAGGAATTTAAAGAAATTGATAGAAATAATAACGTGAAAACACTGCCCAAAAAATTGCTTTGGGATCGTGTAATATCCTTACGAGCAAATAATCAAACCACAAGTACTGATAAAGCATCCAATGATAACAAACAGCGTATACTAAAGCGCTTATATATAGAGATTGATGGTATCAATGCATTCTACCTCTTACGGGAGTTGCAACAATTAACACAACTGCGCCTACAGTTAAACACGAATCCAGCAATGCGTGGTATTGATATATTTTGGTTGCAATTGAGACCACCAACAAAAGAAGTGATCGACTATAAATGGTGAGCAAGTTGTTTACATTGCATCGTTTGACTTTTTTTTATTAACTACTTTAATGTTGGATTGGAAAATAGGAATCGTATATTGTTACACACGCTGTGGGAGCATATCGAAGTGGAATATCTAATGTCCTGGTTATCTACGCTTGGCGGCGGTTACTCCGCTCTTGGAGAGCAATTTAGCAAATGTGTACGTTTACCGTAATAATTCACGATTATTTATATTTATCCAGACTTTTTATTCATTCACTAGGCCGAGGTTGCTGGTAAAATATCCTTACGTCAATTCAATATTGGTCTACGACTTGGCGATCCATTCCTACAAGCCAGATGCAAATTATATTATAGCATTTCACTTATACAAACTGGTCAGCTTAGAAAAGCTAAATATATCATACGTGAACAATACAAGTTCGCCAGAAAGCAAAAGGAATTCGATGGTCGTTTAGTAAAAATGTGTCATGGCATATGGTTACGGCTGCAATACGAATACGGATTGCGCTTAAAGACCTCGACGGAGGCCGTTTTAGTGAACAAATGACATTTCAATAGTGTATAAAAATGTCACATTGCTTTAGTGTTGAGTTGAGCAAAAAAAAAAAAAAACCCATATCAGGTTCATTGAATACTTGAATACTCCTAAAGCTTATATGTAAAATTGGCAACAATAAAGTGGAAAATAATTCTGTAGTTTTATTCATGCTTTGTATAAACATGTATTTTTTTTTATTATTTACTCCTTCTGGCTTAATATTGTTTCAGATTTAGAGGATAATGCATAAATCTTCTGCAAAATATTATATCTATATTGTTTTACAATTTGGACGACCGGAAGTAAGCTGTTTTATATCCGGTTAAATACTCATTTCAGCAATATAGTATCATACTTTTTTTTTATTAGTTTTACTTTTCATTTTTAAATTTCTAAAATTCACACTAATGTCTAAGGCAAGATATTTTGATTTTGAATTATATTTAAACAGCATTTATTTATTTTGCATTGTTTGACGAGTGTACACAAACTATTTAATATATATTTATGTATTTATGTATAATATATATATGTATAAAAGTATTACGCATTTATTTCAGGTGTTTGTATATTAAGCTAGGGTGCCCATTGGGTCCCAAGCCGGAAGCACAATTGGTTCCATGTCGAAAACTTTAAGAATTTCGGGTGGTACGAATGACTTGTCAATCACAACTTCGAAACCGAACTCCTTAAACCACTCAGCGGTCATAACCAGATAACCCTTTTCACCACGGTCTTCACCCCAAGAGTTTTCAACCCGCAATTTTTTTACTTCACCATTTTCCTAAAGAGAAAACCAGACAAATTATTTTGTATTTAAATAGATACATTATTTCATATTAATAGAAACTATTGAACTCACATCAAGGGATACTGCAGTGAATAACATGGCATGTGTCATGGCTGATTCTCCAAAAATTAGGCGATCCGCCTTCGACAAAGGCGTTTGAATATCAACATCAAAGACTAGTTTAAAGTCATGCCTGTTAAAAGCAGAAAATATGTTATGTGTATTAATGCGAAATGTTACAATATTTTTTAAAACTACTATACTAACACATTCAAATCCTCAATGCCCTGCTTTGATGCAAAGCGTTTACTGACTTCACAACCAAACCAAACAGCCTCACCGGCTTTTAAACTTTCAGCTACCAGCTGTAGTAGTTTCTCAACCGGTTGATTATTATACAGCACTGGGCGGCCACCCACCACATTACCAAGACAATCCACTGTATACGTTTGGTCGTAAAAACTGGATGGACGTGGATCATTTACTAAACATACCTGCCGAATCAAATAAAATCGAATAAATTATTTTGAAAGCATTAACGAGCAAAGTTAAATTGATGTACCTTATTTTCCACATTAAATACATTTTTAACATAGTTTTCGTAGAACTCCAACGGCGTTACTGGTCCAATGGAGTTATAAGCTTTGGATTTGTCATAATACTCCCAGGTGAAGCGTTCTGAGGGAATTCCCAAACAGATACCAACTATCTTGTAGATACTAGCCATCATTTCATCAATCTTTTGAGCAACCTCTTCCTCGCTAGGATCTTTATCCAAAAGATCACGTAACACTTTGGCATATTCACGTAGCTAAAAGAAAATAAACAAAATTGATTAACCGTTTCTTGCGGTTTTCATAATTATATACACCTTGCTCTTCAATATGGCATTCATGCGCATGCTCGCCTCACAACTGTAAGTCTCGGGAAAACATTTCTTTGGCATTAAACCATGTTTGGTTATTAAATTAACTAACATATCCCATTGGCCGCCATCTGATGTTGGATCCTGATAAAACAATAACAAATAAAGAGTTAAACTTAATACAGTGTTAAAAATAACCGTAATAAAAAATTACATTTAATAAAAATGACACTAAACGGCCGTCCACCACTTCGTTGCGCCTCGCCGTCTTTACAATATTATTGAGAAAATAATTGCAACGTTCAATTTTGTCCCAATAAAATAGGTAGCCCTGAGAAAATTCAAATTCATCTATATTTAAACTTTTCATAAATGGCAGACGTATGCAATTCAGCGCAGCAAAAAGCCAACATCGGCCGGAACTCTTTTGATTGGTAATAGGTTTGCCTTCGCTTTCCACCTGAAACAAAAAATCAATAGTATTCAAAGTGTTATTAAAAAAAGTCTAAATTTGCTTCAATTGTCTGTGCTTACCTTGTAAGTAAATATGTGATTGGTATTTTCGAGGGATTTGCGCGATAAGCACACATCAAATGGATCCACGCGCGAGCAGACATTCTGTGCAAGAATGTTCTTCGGTTCGCTGTAGAAGTCCTTACGCCATTTGTCCAGTTTCTGCGGTGTAATCGCATTTGGATAGCTAGTAGTAGTGTTGTTGGCTGGAAATAGAGTTGCGGCAGTTGAGTAATTTGCACGAGTAGTGCCCAATAGTTTGTATTTGTATGTAAATATGGTCGGCAAACGGTTTGACAGTTGTTGACGTCGTATCGTAGAGGTAAAACGTAGTGCAACTGTATGGAGACCGACCCCCCCGACAAACGGCGAACGCAAACAGTCAAAAGTCAAACCAAGCCATTGATGGCAAACACATTTTCATGCATATAGCAATGGTATATAAAAATAAACCAAAAAAAAATATATATATATGGTATATGCAAAAGATTAAACGTCTAATTGGCTTTGTTTGTATGATAAGCGTTGAAAATTTGAAAAAGAATAAATTTTGGTTGTGTTTGCCATAATTTATGTACATGAAACTTGCATATCATCATATGTTATATATGATACGTATGCATGTACATAAAAACATTCAGAAACATATGATTTTCTTATTTGTGCAGCTCGCTTCATTCTTATTTATTATGTTTATTCTTTGTCTCTTCACCTTTTTTTTTTGCCAATGTACAGTTGAAAGTCAATAAACTTCTAAAACAAGAAATTGTGGCACAAATTTTTTAATTTCAGAAACCCAAGGTCATTTCGTTTTTGCGCTCATGGAACAAAATGTGTCTACAATTATTTACGTTAAAAATTGTTTTTCTGCAGTCAAAACTTGTGGTAATTACTTATTTTGATGCTGTAGTAATATACATATGTACATATTATATACGTAAATATGTAATTACTTAGTATTATATATTTTTAGAGTTAAAACCACATAAATAATTCGCTTTTTTTTAAATGACAACAGTAGGAATAATTATGGAATGTATATATGCCTGATATGTGGGCGTATTAGCGTTGCAATTAACTTTATATCTGTTATTGTTTTCATTTTAATTCCGTATATTGCTATTAAAGCTATTTTATAGCTAATTAAAATCTGTACAAATTTATATAAAGAACACAGAGATTACAAATGGCTGATAAAACAAGTCTGTTGTAGAAAATGAATATGTAAGTCATGTTAGTAAATGGTTGATAAAAATGTTGCATAAACAATTCATATAATCTTATCTGAACTGCGTTTTGTGTGTTCCATAAAAAGGAGAACAATCCAAATATTGTATTTAATTTTTATGCACACAAGGAGAAGCTAACGACCTTTTAACCACCCGTTCCCACGACAGTCGGGTCTACGTAACCGGAACGGACCCGGATTTATTCCGGCCAAGGACTGTCAACTCGGTAGAATTCTGCCGCTATAACAACAACAACAACAACCACCTTTTAACCAAAGAACTTTGGTTAACTTCGGTTGCACGCTAGAATATTCTTCACAGAAGGATAGTACTTCTAAAAAATTTCCACACAAGAACTTTAATTTGATCGTTCAGTTTGTATAGCAGCTATATGGTATATGGGTCCGATATCGGCTGTTCCAACAACGTAGATTCCTTAGAAGAAAACGTGTGCAAAATTTTAAAGCGAAATCTGAAAAAATAAGGGACTAGTTTGCGTATATACAAACAGACAGACATACGGACATGCAAATCATCTCGTCACGCTATATATGTATATATAAATTATATTATATATATATATAAATTTTATAGGTTCTCCGACGTTTCCTTCTGGACACTGCATCCAAATTTACGTATGTAAATATATACTTATACAATTTTTGTTCATGTTATTGTCTTTTCCTAATAATATTATGAATATTTTCAATCACCATCTTCAAAACTCAGTTGTAATTTTAGCTGAAAATATATTTAAATCAGTACTTCATAACTTTAAAATAATAAATCTGTATACAAATACACTGAGTGAAAAATAATTTAGTCATAAAATGCGATGAAATCTTAAAATGCATTGTGGGATGACTTTAGCACCGCCAATTAACATTGTTCACAAAATCATCGCTCTTTAAACAAAAACCTACGCTCAGTTAGTACTAAAGAAAAATTTCCACAATATGGAGAATTAACTTGTGTAAGTAATAAACTGCAAAATAATAATCTAACGAAGTTTTGCGAAGATTTTCAAATGAGATATTTCTCAAATACATAAATAAACGCCAGTATTTACAAACAGCTATAAACAAGTCAGCAGCTGAAGGAAAATAAATAATGCAAGCATAGAAATGACAAATAATACAAACACAACAATGCGACTTTAACAATAAGTAAATGAATCAAAAGATATTGCACAAACTTAATATGCAAAAATTTTAGTATAAAAAATTACAGTGTGGGGCGTTGCATACCAATCGATCAGTTCGACTTAGTTTTATTACCAATAGTTCATTTTGACAACATTAAGTCGAAATAATAGATGCAATCACCTACTACAAAATAATGCCCAAAGCATAACAAAAAAATTTTAATATTTTACGCTGGTGGCGACGAGACCGCAACGTATTGATTGTAAATACCAGTACCAAAAAAGTGTTTCAATTGTCGTTTCCACCACAGCTGCCGGTAAAGATTCGACATGTGTATGCCCGTATATTACAGCCGAGTGCAACCGTTACAAATGAAAACCAGTTTTTTGATTTGCACGTCAATATCAGGAAAGAACAGCAACAGACAAAAACAAAAAACTATTTTAATACGGCAAAATCGGGCAGTAGAGTGCTCCTAAACTGTGATCGTACAGCTATAATGGAAGCAGCAAGACAAAATATAAAAACAAAAGTGAGTAAACAAAGGGCTCCTAAAACATATGAACGCGTTGTATATATAATATGTATGTTCGTATGTATAGTGAATGAATGTGGTTGCACCCCAGCTATTTGGAAATTAATTTCTACATAGTGCCAGCGCAAGCGGGGGGTGTGGCTGCTGAACAAAGAGCCAGAGCCAGTTGGCGTCACGAAGCTGGCTGAAATTGGCTCTTCAATACCCTATACCAACACTATCAAAGGTGCTGTTGCTTTTGACGATGTCATCGTCTTGAAAATTCATCTAAGCAAAGCTCAAGGCATAATGGAAAGAAATTAATAAAACACATACACGTATGTATGTATGTAAAGAAAGCAATGAAATGCGGCCGCAACATACAACGGAAGCAAAGTAAAATAGCAATTCACTTCGCGAAGTTTCAGTGAAATTTTACTTTCAATATCCAGCAATGCTACTTTCATTTTCACAGCTCTTTACATGTAAGCAAAAAAAAAAGGATATCATTTTCAATGTACGCCTTCCTTTTGCTGTAGCTTACGTGTGTGTAGTTGATTTCATAATGTACTTAATTAATAGCACATAAATTTACTTACACATTTTCCTTTTTTGTTGGGATATAAAACGTTTAACTTAGTAAATGAAATATGTTACAACGGTTAAGTAAATGCACTTTTAGCTTAATAATTTTCGGGCTAACACCAAAACGGGGAATACAAATAAAAAGAAATAAATCACTTTTACTTCCACGATAAGCAAGTCAACAACAAAATGAGCTGCGCGACCGAAAACGACACAACAATCGCTTAAGAAACTCAAAAATATATACACTTTGACAAAGGCGCCCGCGTTAGTAGTGCATGTTTGCAAAATTTTCCCGGACCGCGGGATTAAAGTTAATTAAATTTTTTTTAAAATTTAATTAATGTTTTTAAACTAATAATATTACTGAATAAGCCTTTAGAAATTCTGAATAATACTGTTTTAGTAATAATATATGATAAAGAGTCCATTCCCAGATTGTATCAAATTACATATTTACTCTCTTGTAATTTATTTAAGTAATTATTTAGTGCATTTTTAGATTTTATTTGCATATATGTATGTATACAATTTTATATCATTTACTCGAGTTTAGAAGCATAATATTGTTAATTTCAGCGTTTAAGAATAAACTTACTAGAAAAAAGTTTACCTCAGTGGCAGCCCTTTCCTTTTATTTAATCACACACTGGCACCACTCATTAAACAAAGGCAAATGTCATTAAAAACGCGAATTTGCATTTTTAGAATTGTCAAGCAGGAGTTGTAGAAAAAAAGTAAACGTAAACAATTCGCCTGTCAAATTGGTTTTCATAAAATAAATAACAGTAATATCCAATTTTGTTTTATATAAATTAATGTTTCGAAGTTGTTATTTGTGAAGTCGTTTGCAGAGCATGTCTCTGCGGTACGTTTGTGTGGAGGTGCGCCATAACCTGCGTTGTGCCAATGTATTCCTCCAGTTTGACCATAGTCTCACCGAAACGGAATTCTTAAAAATTGTTGTAGAAAACGATGCATTGACCTTTCGAGAATACTCCACAGCGACCCGGGTGGCGCTCGGTAAATTTTTTACCGCGGAAGCACGTACTATAAGTAACTTGACTGTAGAAGAGTGCAATGCCAGTTTTCGTTTAACTATAACCAATGAACCTGCCCAAGTTACTACAGATAATACAGAAAATCGAATAGATAATAAAAGGAAAATATATATAACTCCAAAGCCAAATATCGAAGAAGGCAGCCAGCACATAGTTTTGTGCAAGAATTGCAAATGTGAACTGAGTACTACACTTCAATGCCAAAGAGTTCGTGAATTTCCCTCTGGATCTATAGACGTGAACGAATTTTTTTGTCATCATGGACCAAAATTTGAAGAAGTCTTGGTGCCACAACTTACTGACTTCTTTTATGGCTTTCAATTTGTTGTACTTAATATGGAGTTGGTACAACAGCAAGTTAAAATGAAGGATAAACATGTTTACTGTCGGCGATGTTTGCAGTACCTGGGAGAAAATATACTCAACGATAATGCCATGAAATTATGGATGGACACATTACTCTTAAAATGCCAACATAACGATAAGGACGATACAATAATAAGTGTTGTTAACGAAAAAGTCACACCAACATGTCAGCTTTTACTTAAAATTATTGACGATACATTAGTTACAGATGTTGTTGGCGAACCATTGCTTCAACAGATGCACTTTTGTAAAGTTTTGCTAGAAGCCACCTTTCCGTGCCGAAAACGTAAATATCTGCTTTTACAAGTGCTGGAAAAACAATTGCAGGTGCTGCGTAACATGAACCCATTGGCTCATGGTAGCCATAATAATAATAATGTGCTGCAAGTGCAACTTGAGCAATGCAAAAGTTTTAAACTACTTTACAGACTGCTAGATGAAACAGAAGATGAAGGTGGAGGTGATGACAAAATAGGAGACAACGATAGTGGTGAGACTAACAGTGCCAGTAGTATTAGCAGCGATAGCATACTGTTAAAAAGCTGGAAAGAGGATATGTCTATACATGTGCTAAAAGTATCACCGACACTTTTCGGCACACTACTAGAGGAGTTGGACGAAAATGCTTTATTGCTTCCTGAATTGTACCGCTATACGCACGACCATTTTCAACTGAGTTATATATTCTATGTAGATTAGAGAAAGAAACTTAAATAATGACATGATATGTATATAGATATTTCGTTGTGATAAACAGTACCACATATTGTGTAATTAGAACGGCCGATTTAAATATCTATGTGTCAGTATATGTATATACTTATATACTTGTTTATTTATGTTCAAGAACTTGCAATACGCTTACTTGGCTAAGATTGTAATTAACATTTAACTAGTATGATTTGTCTTTAATTTAAAATCCTAACACAATCAAGAGGGTATAATTTTAGATGCAACTATTTAAGACATTTGATAAGTTTTACTTTATAACATTAATTGTTTATAATTCCCCGATATATTTAAAGGCAATGATATTCGTCGAAAACTAATGGAATTCTAATAAAAAAAAATTAATGCTCGAAAAATTTACCGTTCAAAAAAATTTAGAATTTTTTGTTTACAAACTAAAATGCTCACTTTGACAATCATGTTTCGGCGAATTCGTAGGATCACCGCCGCCTCCAGTTTGCATGACTTTGGTTTTTGTGATTTGTTCTTTTATGACGATAGTTGGGAATATACTCGATTCCTTCAAGCGATTACAGAAAAATGTAAAAAAACGAAATCTTCTATGCGCGAATATGTTTGCAAAATTTGAAAGAAATTGTTAACAAAGAAAATTAAATGGAAAGTTGTCGTTGGTTGGTTGTTTATGGTGTCAAACTTTTTTAAATATTTTAAATTTCAATCATGTTTCAATCCATTAGCCTTCATCGTAATTCAATCATTTAAAGTGTTTATGATTTTTGTTTTGGTTTTCTTTTGCTTTTGTTTTTTATGTTTTTGGTTTTCTAAGTATTTTGGTGTCATATATGAGTTAACCCTAGTTAATTACAGGGAAGTTTACGTTTTACAATTGATATTAATGGATATCTTATGCAATTATTATTACTTGTTTTGCTTTAGAAGCCCTTTATTAACTATTATATTTTATTTAATCACTTTGTTGTTATTGCTCATGCAGACAAATTAATATTAAACAAATGGGTGTATGCTTCTCCTTTCTTTCCTCATTTCTGCCATAAATGCTATTTAGAATTCTCCTATTTTACCACCGATATTTTGTAATTATTTTGGGATAGCTGTTGATATACACAAATTAATATACATATACTTGAATATACTTAAATTATTTCCTTCACTCTTCACAACATCCTCTAAGCTTAAAATAAGAATAACTATTTAAATATTCCATACTATTTGCTCTTCTGCTAGTTTACCGTCCCTATTAATTCATTCAGCACTTTACTTTGCCATGCGACTCATTTGTTTAGTTTGTTCCGACATTGAAATTTCCGCATTATCGGCCTTGTTAATTAACAAGTCTAATTTGTCTAAGTGTGAAGTCATTTTTTTCTGTATATCCATTTTTGCTGCCCGAATTTTCTCCGTTGGTATGACGGGTTGTATTTCACCCTCAATTTCTTGATCTCGCACATTATCAAGATCCAGTGTACTATTTGTATCGGAGTCGCTCTTCTCATCATTATGTTGACCACTAGTGCCGCCTCCCGTTGCGGTGGTATTGCGTCGACTAGCTGTCGCGGAGGTAGAGGGTGTACCGTCTGGCAAATCTACTGAGCCTCTGGCAAAAATATTTGATAGGCTACCACAAGCTGTTTGCTTGAAACGATTTAATTTCTGTTGTGTGGATGATAATATTGTATTCAACTCATCCAAACGCCCACCTACATTACGCATTTGGTCTTCCTGCTGCTCTAGAAGCTAAAAATAAAAATGTCCTTGCATATAATATATTGCATACTAAGTGCATGTATGTATGTATGTGTGTTTGTGCGTAAATTGCAGTTCATTACCGCAGCCTCGGCGGCTTCTAATTCCTCTTGTTCACGTCTCAAGCGCTCGGCGCGCGCCTTCTCGAATTCCTCCTCGTTAGGTTTTTCTATGCCTAACAACTCTGCTCTCATACACTCGTATTCGTAGGTGCCTTCTGCCATTTCGTTATTGCAGTTTAGTTTTGATTTAGGCGTAAAGAAATTCACGTTGCGTACGTTGCGTGATGTCGTCGTTACAACCTTTATTTTGAGCAATTGGATCGATTTTTTTGTCGCCACATGCCTCATACACCCGTAGCGGTCAAGGAAAATAGTGTGTGTAGAAAGTGAAAGCGTTGACGGTGTTACAAACGTCAGTTAAATAGTAATAGATGTAGGCAGGCCAACGCATGCGCTTAACTTTGTCATTCATTCAAATTTGAGGTTTCCTAAATAAATAATAAATTATCGCTTACATTTTTGCTTTGCTGTGAAATTAACTTAAAATGTATAAAAATTAACAATACATCTGTGTTGCTTTTGTCTTTTTTAATTACAAAAACTTGCATATTTCAAATTAAATTTCTTATAATACAAATTTAATTAAATACATTTACTTAACTAAGTGGCTTGCAATTTACATACACATGCAACATTCGATCAATCATTATTTCGTTCATAAATCTGTATGTATGACTCTGTCAGTGTGATCATGGGTGGCAAAATTTCCGTTACATGCAAATCTTGCATTTCATACCACTGCCCATTGGCTTTATGCAAAATGTGCGCACGATAAGTGCCCTTTTTCGGCTCACCATCATGCACAATATTTGCTACCAAATTATATTTGGTATTTTTCAGTTGTTCTCGGTTCTTCATTGACAAAATATCGCCAAAGTCCACGTTCCTGCAATTATTTAAGATTATAAAATTTATAAACTAATAATAAATAAGTAATACAACTGCTTACTTAATCGGAAAATTGACAATCGTTGGATTTTTCTCCAGGAAGAAGGTATTCTTTGTGAAACGTTTGATATATAGTATAATGTACTGTGGCAAACGTGTGATTTCGAAGCGCTTCAAAAAGTTATCTTTGTACGTGTTATATTCCTTTTCGGTGGTGCCATTGAATTTCGCTAGCAATTGATAAAGATTAACTTGTGGTATGATATTTTCACGAAATTCGTCCGTGAACAGTGGTGGCGGTGGCAGGTCACATGTAAGATATAGAAAATTAGAATCTTCACATTTCTCCTGATATTCCTCTGTAGCTAAAAGTAACGATTTCTGCGTATCATCCAACTCTACTGGCGGAATTTTGCGCGTAAAAATTTTCATTTCACCTAAAAAGATTTTGTGTATGATCGATGAATCGGGCTTTTTGTTGCCTTTTAGTGCGCGATGTAGCGTATGCAAGAACCAAGATAGAAAGTCGATGGGATCACCTTGTTCCGTTATTTGAAAACTTTTATTGGACCACAACACTACGGCCTGCAACATTTCGTGTGGCGACACGTGCGCTTTAAAATTTCGTGGATTCCACATTTTTCGCATCAGTTCACCGAAACGTTGCACTAGATTGAAGATCGAATCACCTGGTGGTCTTTTTATTTTGGCATAATTCTGCTCACGCAGGTAGTAATCGCGTAAAGGACCCACGTGTGATAGCGCGTGCAGCACAACATTACAATAGTCGTTCGCTTTTATATTATTCAAACCAACCACACCGGGTAGATAAAGCGTACCGTCGACTGTACGCGAGTACTTCGGTTCAGAGCGATCCAGCTGTCTTATATCTTTCGGTTCAAAAGTGGGATTCAGTACATATTTGATATCGTCTAGCGAAGAGTCAATAATTTCATAATTATCTGGCAGACAATAGAAGCGTAGTGTTTGTAGATTGAGAAAAACATGATGCGCCTCCGATACGGAATGTGTATAAGCGTGCGTATTTGTGCCGCGCCCTTGGAAATATTTGCCACAAACCAGACAGGCGTAAACGTTTATGCGCGTTAGCGAGATTGAACACAACTTTTCAAAATCAAAATCTAGTAGGTGACGGTTAATTGTATCCAGATATGGACAGACACGATACTTTGGATTGAAAGCAGATGGTTCAAGTTCTGTAATTAATTCAGTAAAATGTGTAATATTTTCACCAAAACAAACGCATTGCTTGGTTCTTACCGTACTCATCATGCTCTTCTTTCATCTTGCCATTTGTGGCCAGCTTTTGCTCTATCTTCGGCTTTTTAGCCACCGGTTCTCTACCTTCAGGAATTAAAAATTGTTCAATACATGTGGCACTGAAATAGTTATGCGTTATTGTTCATAATTACCATTTGTTGACATTATAATGCTCGAATCGGCGTTAACTATAGAATTGTTTATAAATTAGAAAACTGACGATCAGCTGTTGGCGTCTCCTTAGACTGTCATCCAGCAGTGTTTCGCTTTAATTCAAAATTACCCCATTATTATTTTGCAACATTTGCAATATATATGCCTTTATATACATATAATTAGAATAATTAAAAAAAAATAGATAAAAAATAGATGTACACCAAATAACTTGTAAAATGCCAAATTTTTCTAATGATAAGAATAACGCAACAAAATTAGTCTCAAAGATTTCTAAATTTCAAATAAATAAAATTAAGAACATGGCAGCTCTAATTTCGGATAATGAATAGAAACGACAAGTCAGGCGGCTAGTTTACAGTTACTGTGATTAATTTGCAAATTTTTTGTTCATTAGTAGTAAACACAAAATGCGTGTAGTAATTACAAAAATATTATGCAAATTAAATAATATTTGAACAAGCATGAATTGTCATCTGTGTTTTACTTGCAGCTTTTATAAGTGAGCCGAAAGATATTCAAAGTTTTGATATTAAAAATAAGAGATATTCTTATAAGTATGCACGTTGAAATAACTAAATGAAAAATAAAATTTATTAAAAACAAAAATTAAATTAATTTAATTGAAGTTTTAAACATCTTCTGTTTTTTCAGATCCTACTGCTCACAAATGCACATTTTATGGAGAAAAGGACCGGTTTAAAACGGACTAAAATGACAATTTTGTTAGGCTGTTATTGGCTACATAATTTTTACCTATTGCAGAAAATTACAAATAGAAAATTAGCTATTGGTCTGCTTACTCTACGCAACTAATTAAATTTGTGTTCAATTCATTTTATAATTTATTTATATATTTATATATTTAGCGAAAATATTTTAAAAATAAAATGCATATTTGAGAAATAACGTTTTCCTTTGTTTTAAAATTTTTTTCTAAATACTTGTTAAATGCAGCATTTCGTTTTAAAACATCTGGCATCACTCGGTTCGGATACAAATCCAAAAACAAAAATCGCCAACATCCTTCCAGTGGCACCTTGCTTTCGATTATGGGCGCCTGAGGCATATGCGGGTTTTACAAATTACAAATTCAGCAGACGTTATGTTTCAGGCGCGGCTGCTTGCTGTGCATTTCTGCGCGCCTGGTGTAATTGGGAGTTGCTGAAATTTGGCGTTTGAGCACATTTACTGCGCAGCAGAAGCGTTGCATACTCTGAGGGGTTTTTCTTATTTTCTCACCTGCAGATTGATTTTCATGTGATTTATAATAAATGGATTAGATATATCAACTAGACTTCTTTATTGAAATTTGCAAGTTACATTTCAACATAACACTTTCAATTTGGGTCGGAAAATAACATTTATTCTTCAAAGTAACAACCAATCAAATCAGTTGAAGAAAAATACAGATTATGATACATTTTATGCAGAGGAATTGTAAAATGTGTAAAAATTATTATTAAAAATACATACATATATATAGACATTGAAATATTCATACATACGGACATGAATTGTAAGTACGTATCTATACAACAATTTGGAATTATTTTTTTCTTTAATTAATTTTCGTTGATTTCTCGATAAATTTAACTAGTTTGTTCGTATAAAAAGGCACATTATCGGTAAAGATTTTTTGACTAAACTTTTAGAGACATAAGTATGTATATTCCAGCAATGCTTAAAACATTTTTTAAACGCTCTAAAGTGCTGGAAATAAGTAAATACGTCGATTATTTATAAATTTGATACAATATATGGTTAAAAATATTTGAGAAATTTCAATTAGCTTTTCACAAATTACAAATTGTTCATTAACTGTAAACAATTACGAAATACTTGCTGGTGTGCAGCATTAAAATTTCTCTGCTTTTCAATACTTATGCTAAATTAGTATATTATTAGTAATATTACAGTGAAACCAAGTATGTATATCCAAATAAACCACAAAACCCATTTTCGACAAATTCTTTTAGTATGGGTTCACGGCCGCCAAGCCAACACGCCCACCGGCGCGCGCAAACACCGGCTCCGCGTAACTGTGACGATAGCCCTTCGTAAGATTGGCGATACCTTTTGGATTGGGTATCGGCGCACCGGTTGTGGGTGGCGGCGGTGTGGGTGAAGGATAGTAATCTGTATGTTTTTCAGTTTGCCGACGATTCGCGCGATGTTCTGGCGCACCTGCTGCGCGCACATCAGGCGAGTATTCACGTCTCAATGGTTCGCGATGTCGCTCGCGTTCGTCGCGTGTATGTGGGGTATCCCGTGAGTGATCATGCACGGCGCGCTGCTCATAACGATAGGCATCACGGTAGGGATCACGACCATCTGTCATGTCGCTGGAGCGTTCACGCATGATGCGATGCGCGTCATTTCGTTTTCCTGCCGATTCACGTGTATGCGTGCGTTCTGGCGCGTATTCTTGGAAGGGACGCTCTCGGCCATGTTCGCGCAAATGATGTTCACGTGGTGGCATCATTTCGCGGGATGGTGGCATGTTGCTCTCCTCCCAGAGTTGACCGCGTGATCGTGAGCGCGAACGTGCAGCGATTGGCGGTGGTGGCGGTGAGTCATCAAGGCGTTCTTCATCACTCCAGTCAGCATATGACCGTCCGCCATCTGCTCGCTCAACTGAGCCGCGTCTTCGTGGTCTATAATTGGTGATGTCTTTCTCTTCGACCAGATCGTAGCGACTACCGGTGCATTCCATAGCGCGGAATTTGTCCTTGGCATCCTTGAACCGATCCTTGGGTGTGACATCGGATCGTCCATTTGAGTGTGCATACTCCAGTGGTCGGCCGTCATCATTGACGCGCTTTGTAAAGGATGATTTGCTATGTTGCGAACTGAGTTTTGCGTGCAGCTCTTCCTTCGGTGGTGCTACTGCCGCCGGTTCCACTGCACCATCAAAAGCCTTATAACGCATGGCGGATGATTTCATCATCTTCTCCATACTCTGAATGTAGGGTAGGCTTTCGGGTTCGCGGTATGGATTACGCTCATTGCTGCGCGAATATTGCTTGCGCTCGTGCTCACGCTCCCGGTCACGCTCCCGTTCACGTTCGCGCAAACGTTCTGGCTCTCGCTCGCGTTCACTGCTGCGTGTGTGGCTTAATTCCGAACGCTCTGGCGAGTGTGTACTACGATGAGCAGCCGCATATTTGTTATGGCTTGCGGTTTGTTCAAAAGGCAGATCGGCTGGATCGGCATAACGATGACGACCGCCATAGCGCTGTGCTTCGTCGACAGCATATGACTTGGACTGTTTCTTTGCGGCGTATTCGATGAATTTCTGTTTATCTGTTAAGTTTTCCTTGCGATAGTTGGAGGATGGATGCACGGCCATATGATCGCTAGCTGGATCCGAGTCATTAAATTCCTCAGCATCATCCAGTTTGTGTTTGACAAAACGCGGATCTGGCGTTTCCCGTTCCAGTGAAAGTTTTTTGTTCAACAAACGATTGATTTCATTGTATTTGTCAGTGTCGCGCAGTTTCGGATGTTCACGCTCACGTTCGCGTTCTCTATTGCTACTAACGCCACCTCCACCGCCACCATCGGCGCGTCGATGATAATCCTGTTTGGTTTCGGCTTGCATGACACGATTAAATTTCGCATCGTAATCCGCAGGACGCATTATAATTGGTTTAATTTCATCCTCGCGCGACCAGCTCGTGTTCGAGGGGGTCTTTGAACGCGTATCACGTTCATGTGTGGGTCCGGCGATTTTTTCGCGATGCGCGCTTTGACGCGGCGTATATGGTTTAGCAGGTAAATCACGCAAATAACTATCTTTTGGTGGTTGAACGGCGCTCTTGCGATTCAACTGCGGATGATGTGGAATTATAGGCGGTGAACGTTCCATTGCGATTTGTGATGGTTTGAGCGCAATCACTGAGTTATCAGCTTCATTCGACCATTGCTCATCCTCTGCGCAAGAAGAAAGAGAGAGAAACAGAAAGTGATGTGAGTAAATTATTTCAATAGAATTTAACTCCGCTTAACTTACCACTCGAACTGTTCAAATCCTGTCGTTCTGGACTTGGCGCCAAATCAGAACCGATGCCTGATGAGCCGCGCGAAGAGACCTGCTTGCCACCGACAGGCACTGCTGTCTCATTGGGTGTAGCGCCGCCCACAATCAATGCATTGCGACAGCGACGCAGCTCGATGGCTGTCAAATTACCCTTGGAACGATGTACGGTATCGTAGTCGCGTGGCGGCAGTAACAAAGGCGGTCCATTACCATTCAATTTGGCACGCAGCTCAGCGGCTAAGGAGTCGAATAGCTCGCTAGTGGGCTGTGGCAGTGGCAGTGGTTTTGTAGTCGCCGTGACCGGCGGTGAACGTGAAACGGGTGAGCCGCCGCTATGTTCTTCGCTGCATTCAGATTCGCGTGTACTATTGCCGGTATCGCTGCCTAGCGACGAGCTAAATCGTTTCGGTGACGAGTCATGGCGGCGCTGTTGTTGTTGTTGCTGATGTAGCAGTTGTGATTGCTGTTGTTGTGACAAGTAATGTTTGGACTTGTTGTTGTTGTGTTCGTTGCTGTGACCATTGCTAGACATGTGGGCTGCAGATTTGCCATTGCTGCTGCTGCCGCTGCCACCGCCGGACGTGGGCAATGGCGGCAGGATGCCCAAACTGTAAAAGCAAGGGAAATAAATGCGCATGAAATACATGTTTACAAAAAGCCGTTGCAGTGCTGCAGTGCTGCAAGTTGTATTATAAATCGGTTACACGTCGCCAGGTAGGCGTGTGTTAAGTGCTAAAAGTGCTACGGCGCAAGTCACATTACCAAAAGCAGTTGCAATGACTGCCCGCCAGCTAGTGCACTTCCGTCACCTGAAATTTATGTGCGTCTCGAAGCATCGACACTTGCCGAAGGGCGCCATAAACAATAAGCGACAAGTGGGCTGCAGTTAACATGAACCTTTGCTAATACGTTAGGGTGGTTCTACTTTTCATATTTGTTTTATTTTTTTATTTTACCATAACTGTGAAGAAAGTTAAAACATATTATATTGTTGTTGTAGTTGCATATTGCCAATTATTTCGAAACGTAAGAAGAAGAAGAAGTTTGAGTGAGAGCCTTTGAGAGTAATTATAGTCAGATCAATTTAAAATAACTGAGGTGCGTGCCTACCTTACGTTGAATTATAAAGTAAAATTTCAATTAAGAAAGAAATTCCATAGCTAGATACAACCGCATTTGATGTTCGGGCTTCCCAAAAAAGTCGTTTTGTGTGAAAAATTTCAAACTTAAAAATGGCTTAAAAAATCAAAATTTTTACCAAAAATCTAATATTTTGTCATTACCTGATAAACACTTCTAAGAAGATCGTGCGAAAACTTCTAGTCGATAGGTCTAGTGGTTTCGCGGCAATTTTCCTCAATGACTCTGAAAACAACGTTTCGAGAAAAACGCGTTTAAAGTGTTGGGAACCGATTATGTACCTGTATTAAGTTGCAAAATTCTTAAAAATATAATCATATCTCAGAAACTATTTGCCAGATCAAATTCAAAATTTTCGGAGAATATTTCCCAATATATATAGGGAATAAATCGATTATTTGAAATTCACAAGTGTATATGGCGCCTCAAAATTGAGAAATATAGCTACATATATGCTATAGTGGTCTGATATCGGCGGTTCCAATAAATAAGCAGCTTTTTGGGATGGTGTGAAAAACCATATCGATATCTCATAAAGTGAAGGACAAGTACGCAATTGGCTCAGTTCGTTATGCTGATTATATATGTATGTACTTATATATATATATTTTTTTTTTTTTTGTTAAATATTATATATGGTGTAGTAAAAAGAAATCCATTATTTTTGCATGAAAGTGAATGCTTTAATTGTTACTTTTCGTATCCAGTCTATTCAAATCGTTCCAAACTGTTTTTTGTGCAATGTTTTTGGTCTCGGCGATTTCCATTATTTGATCGATTTTTTCGATAATTGGTCTTCCAGAGTGTGGTGCATCTTTGACATCGAAATTACCGGAACGGAATCGACGAAATCAAAATTGACGTGATGAGCTGTTACAGTAATCAGGACCATAAACGCTATTCACATTTTCAGCCACCTGGCTTGCGTTTTCGCCCTCATCGAAGAAAAACTATAAAATATAGCTATTTTCTCTTTGCAAGTGTCCGTCTTTGACGCGCGCTCAAACAAAACTGAATCAAGCAATCACAATCTATTGGAAAATAATCTGTATAATTTTATACCTTTACACCTAATATATTATATATTTTAAAGGTTTTCCGACTTTTCGTTTGGGTTTTACAAACTTCGTGTAAAACTTTATAAACCCTGTTCCGGGTAAAAATAGTGCCACCTTACTTTGAACTGAAAACGTAATAATTCCATGGTAGGCTGATAGGCTGGCAGGCTGCGACATATTGCACGCAAATGCTTGCACTACACAACTATATTTATACGAATGTAATTTTGTGGCGACATTTAAACGAATCGGTTATAACTTCGCTATGCTCTCAAATTGTTTTAATGCAATTTGCAAGCAAAAAATCAAAGAGCACGCAGTATTGAAATCAAATAATTTGCTCCCAACCGAGTTTAGAACGCTTTTCGCGGACATGCTCTTAAGGCAGCATTTGCTTGTAAATGTGTGGATTAAGGTTAAGTTGTTGTTTTGGGTTTTCATGGCAAGATTTGTAAATATGCACATGTTTACCGTTCATTCAATACAAATTTTGATTTGATGCTTTTAAGCTTTAATAGCACTTGCTCATAAAATCGTACTTGTTTTTTGTCGTAGGTGCTATTCGTAGCTGAGCGCGTACTGCCTGCTGCACCTTAAAATAAATCAGCGCCAAAATGATTACATCATTTGCTCATTTAAACGAATATTATGGACGGATTTATGTTGGTATACATGTTTGTTTGTGCTGAAATATGCAGGCAAGTCTGCGCTTTTGGCACTTTTGTGTGGTCTCAGCCAGTACGCTGTCTGGTCTTGTCGTCTATCCTCACTTGGCCGGGTCTAGCTGCTTTTGGTTGTTTTGCGTTTCCCTGCTGTCTTCTGACTGCCGTTTCATATTGGCGTTCGCGTTGACATTTTCAAGATGCCAATTGTGAATTGTTGGCGGAACGACGCCAACGACACTGTGTGTAGTCAATAATATTGAATTTCAAATTTGTGAATTATTTTTAGTTGCATTACGAAAACTGTTTTGGAATGTGCACTCTATTTGTGGGTAGTTATTGCAGTCAAGTTTCCCATAATGTACATTCTAGGTAGTTTGATGTGATTTGAAGTAGCTTAACATATGTTCAACATTTGTAAGTGTATGTATATAAATTATTAAAAAAAATATGACATCAACTGAGCTAAATAACAGTTCTTTGATGAGTTGAAGCGGCTGCAGAAACCGGAATTAAGCGCTTGAGTAGTAGCAGCCGCAGCCGCAGCTGAGATGATTATGTCTCATTTATTCTCTTTTTAAGTTATCAGATATTTACCCAAAGGCCCACTCATTTTAAAGCAGTAATCGAAAACAGGTTCTTAAACTCACATTTTGGATTTTTTGTAATAATAATTTTGAAAAAAATTTGACAAATATTACATATTACACATTAATATGCAAGTATATTCGCTGTTTATAAAAATATACGTGTGATATTTTATATTATTTTAAAGTACCTGCCAAATTTTTTAAGGCAATACAGAAAATTTCTTATTTAGGACTGGTACATATAAACAGCGTACGTAAACCTAATCGATAGGTACAAACTTTTCAAAAAAAATTGAACAACGAGTTTGCTTGCTATTTTGTGTTCGCAATGGAATCATGGTTACGGAATTGTTGAAAATGTTGCAGAAGTATTTTAAAGAGTCTACTTTAACACGAACATAGAAATTTGAGTGTCACAAAACATTTAGTAAAAGTCGTGAAGTCATTTTGCCTCTTGCAATTCGCCCATCCCTCTCTCTTAATGACAATACCTAAAAAGTTAAAGAGACAGTGTTTCAAAATCGACGTCGTGTTGGCATTAAAGAGATAGCAGAATATCTCAACATCTCTTATCGAGTGACTTATTTGCTTAATACACGCATTTTGCTTAATATTTTGGGTATGAAGTGTGTCAATGCTAGACTCGAGCCTAAAGATCTGAATCTTTTTGCAAAAAGGACATCGAATAGAGGTCGCAAAAGAGCTGCTTGACAACGTAGCTGAGGACGTTACTATGCAACAATCTAGCGAATGGCGTTTCAAAAATGAACCGAAACCGCCAACAACACATCGAAGTCGTCAAAAATCATACTCATCGTTTTCTCTGATTATCGTGGTGTAGCTCACTATGGGGAACACGCCATGAGTCAATTGAAGAAACTAAAAGCTTTCTCTGTCAAGGCAGTCGAGCTTATAACAATTGTACCGCAAACTGGATTAAGCGTTGGAATAATTGTATTGAGAAGTATATTTTAAAGCGCTAATAAATATTTATTACTAAAATACGTGATAACGTTTTTCTTTAGGAATTCCGGGTCAAATATCAAAATTTTGTAAATTGTAAGGTAAGATGTTCAGTAATTAGATTCATTGGTATTTCGTAAATGAAATGAACCACTTGAATCACTGCGGTGGGGAAATAACGTGCCTGCCAATCAAACGGTTAATATTGTGATCTGGCTTTGTGAGTGTTATAATGTTTGGAATTCTAGCAAATATTAAATAGAAAATAAATTTTATAGTACGGTGGAGCGAAAATTTTATTTTTATTTTTTTTTTTGCTTAACCTGGGGGTAAAATCTGTAGATTATAGAAAAAGAAAATTTTTGGACAAAAAAAATTTTTTTTTTAATACCTAGCGCACTCAGTTTTAAAGTAAATTTCGACTTAACATTTTTTTGGACAATAAAATAATAATTTTTGGTATAAACCTTTCACGTTTATATAAAATATACCGAATTTGATGGTTTTTGACTTAAAATTTATTTTAACGCTTAAGGAAAGCATGTGGTCATTTACGACTGTTTTAAAACTCGAATAATGACCAAAAAAAAAAATTTTTAAGTTGATACATTTTAAATGGCCAGAAAGAGGGCTCTCCACAGCTTCCAGAACACTTATGAAAAATTTTTTACGAAATAAAAATTTGAACTCGAAATTTAATTTAAAACTGAGCCTCTAAGTGTTAAAAATTTTTTTTTTGCCAAATTTTTTTTTGCCAAAAATTTTCTTTTTTTTAAATCTACAGATTTTACCCCCAGGTTAAGCCAAAAAGAAAAAAAATATTTTTCGCTCCACCCTAATATATAGTAGTATACTCGTATATATAGTAGCGGTTAAAAAATGGAGGACACTTTTTCTTAGAACTTAGTAACTAGCTGCTTAGGAAGTTCTAAATTATTGTTTGTACCGTTTAAAAAATACGGTAAACGTGTTTAAAAAAATTATAATAATAGTCAAAAAAATAAAATAATACAAAACGAATATCGCAAGTCGACTGTTTTATGACAGTGAACCACCATAAAACAATAACGATGTTGTATCTTAGTACGATAACATGTAGGTATATAGTATATATGCACATATAGGTACATATATACATAATATGTATATACTTGAATATATATATATAGCAGCGCAAATTCGCTTTTGATTAACCGTTATTAACATATTACTGAGGAATTTCGCACATACTCAAAATTCACAAAATTAAATTATTCGAAGATAAAAAATAAAAAAAAAAATATTACTCAGAGCTGCGTTGCCTACGGTGTTAGTGTCAAGTGTTAGTGTGTCAATTGTTGCCACATATTTTTTTTTTGGTGGTTTTCACTGGCGCCCACTTAGTAATATTGATGTGTAGGAAACAATATGGCACAAAGGAGAAAGCGCCAAGTTATGCTGATAGAAAAAGATTTGCGCCCACAGGGTCGAAACTGAAGAAAACTTGAATACACTTGCCAATTGCAAAAAGTTAGACAATAATATGCTTGTAATACATATACATATATGTACCTAAATATAGGTATATTTGTATATATATAAAGAATGCTTATATGTGCTGCTAAGACAGCAACTGAAACTGCAGGAATGTTTATACAAAATTTTGTTTGCGGGCAAATTTTGTCGCTTGAGAAATTATTGAAAAAATCTTTAAGACAATAACTCTACGTTAATCAGTAAAAAAAAAGTAAAGAAAAAATTATGATATTTCATACTGCAATTATTCAACAACAGCTGGCATTCGTATTTGCAGACTCTGCATTTAGACAGTCGAGGGGAATTCAGCAAAATCTACACCAGCAACATAGACTTCTTCTCTTTTTTCATTTCCCCTTATTGCCACAATTAATTAATGACACTGTCATATAAACAAACACCGCGTGCAGTCTAATGGAATAGCGGTAAATAATGCAATGAAGTGAAAAAAGTCGCAAGCGCACACGAAACATGTCGCAAAAGCAGTTGCCGATGGGGCACGCTACATGCCACACCGCATGAGGAAGAACCGTAAACAGCATCAGGCAGTTGCATCATAAATGACGGTGATTGCGGTAAACTTGCCTACTTTAAATGCCGCCGTAAGGCTGACGTGTGTGGCATCTAAATGCACATCACTTAAAAAGCTAGTTTGTTTTTATAACAAAACTTTTTGAAATTTGCATATTATTTTTGAGCTGTTAGACTTTATTATTGCAAGATTTTCAGCTATAATCACTTCCGTGTAAACAGCCATGGCTGCGAGAAAGAAAAGGAGAAATGTCTTCGTGTAATTTCCAAGCAAAAGTTGTGTTATGTGTGCGCATTGCCACATCTCATCGCAGCTATAAAATGAATTTGCTTGCGTTTATTTTTGAATTTTGAGTGCCGCTTTTATATTGTTGTAGAAATTTTGAAACAAAAAATATAAATAAATATTTCTTTATGCTTTCAGCGATAATTTTCATGCAAGTGTCTTTGAAGCGATTGTGCAACAATACGCTGCCTCAACCCCACCAAACAGATACTTTTTTTTTTGGCAACTTTCACTATTGAAAACAAAAGACTTAAGGCACAAACTTGCTAGAGCGTCACTGCGTAGAAGAATAATGAGGAATGCGTTTACTCACCGTGTTTCCAATTCCTCAAAGCGTTTTTGATTTTCTGGACGATTTATTAGTATTTGGAGCTGTTGATGCAACGCCTCTGCTGTGGACTCGGAATCGCAACGGTAGGCGTGTACGTGCAGTGGACATTTTGTTGCCGGATTATATAGCAACAAAACGCATGCAACGATATCATCTGTTTGCACGGAGCTGGTTATGGCACTGTGTGGTATGAAATGTTTTGAGGAGCCCTGTTGTATGGAGAAAAAAAATTGTATTTACATATTATGTTAAAAAAATAATTATAAATGTTTAATAATAAAAAATAAGGAATTGTGTTGTTGTTAAAAAATATTAATTATAAAAACAAAAAAAAGTAAAACCGTTAACTTCGGCTACACTGGAACTATATTACACTTCACAAATAAAAAAATTCCAAAAGAGAACTTGATTTTGAGCGTTAAGTTTGTATGACAGCTATATGCTAAAGATGTTCGATCTGAACAATTTCTTCGAAGTTTGTAGCGTTGCTTTAAGCAATAATTCATGTCAAATTTCGTGAAGATATCTCATCAAATTAAAAAGTGTTTCATAGAAGGACTTAATTTAAATCGATTAGTTTATATTTCAGCTATGTGCCATTTTAGTGGTACGATTTAAATAATTTTTTCGAATATTATAACGTTGCCTTGGATAGTAATCCTTGCCAAATTTCGTGAAGATATCTTGTAGATAAAAAAAAAAATTCCATACACGAGCATGATTTTGAGCGGTAAGTTTGTATGGCAGCTATATGCTATAGAGGTTCGATCTTAAAAAAATCGTCTGATATTGTAGCGTTACTTCAGAAAAAAATTCATGCCGAATTTCGTGAAGATATCTCGCCAAAAAAAAAAAGTTTTCAATACAAGAACTTGTTTTTGATCTTTCAGTTTGTATGGCAGCTATATGCTCTAAAGGTCCGATATCGGCGGTTTTCACAAATAGGCAGCTTCTTGGGGTGAAAAGGATGTATGATTTCAATATTTTCAGATCGAAATCTCAAAAATTAAGGGGTTAGTTTGCGTATATACAGACAGACGGATGGACAGCCGTGATTAAATTAAAATAAATATTAAAAACAGCTTCGCAATACAACTATTCATTATCGTGCTATCAAGCTAAAAAATACTATTAACAAATTTCCTTCTCTTCCTATTACCAAATTCCTTCTCGCAATAATCGTTAACAATTACCAATTTCACAAAATTTTAAACTTTGACTCACCTGTAATATTTTGATACCCTTGTGGGAGACCTGCAGCGTCACCTTGAGCGGCTCTTGGCCGCGTGACCGATCAATCAGATACGGCAGCACTGAGTTGATGACACGTGTGCCGCGCAAACCTTTCGCCTCCTCAGCGCCCAGAAACCAAACATAATAGGATGCTTTTTGTACATCTCTTCGCAGGCGGAGAGCCATTTTTTGTATTTCTTTACTGTAATCTTGTGACTTGGCCAAAATTCAAAAAGCAATAAATATGCCTTATGCACCAACTCTAGGCTGGTTGCCGGCGTTGTTATGGGTTATGGTCTAGCGTAGGTTGTTGGTTTGCGAACACAGCAAAATTTGTCTGGTTTGCTTTTGTTTTTTTTTGTTTTTGTTATTTTCAATTGAAGTGAGTTTCTGTGTTTATGTGGCAGTCAGTTTTTAGGTTAAAAGTAATTACTCCTGTTGAAAGAAATTGAAGGCAACTGGAAATAGAAATAGAAAAAATAATATATAAAATAAGTTGATGATTTTTATTATGGAATTTTGTTTATATTGAAAAAGTATTTAGTGCTATATATACTTTTAAATGTGAATAGTTTTCTTAGGTGATGGAATAAATATTCTATATAAGAAATCTGACGGATTCTACTATGCGGTTCATTACATAATATATTTTTATATGTAAATGTAATGAAAGTTTTCTTCTAAGAGCTTTTGATTTTAGAGATTATAATAACTTGTTTGAAAGGCAAACTTACGCGACCTACATACACCCCAATTAATTTTTTTTGAATTGATACACTCTCGGCCATTATTGTTTTTATTTTCAGAAAGGTCTCAGAAATGAGGAAAATTAATTTAGATATTTTTGGAGTCTTGTAGAGCTTAAAACTGATGTAGATCTTTTTCAGACTTCTTGGACAGCCTCAGAAAACTTTTTCCTTAAAATACTTAATTCCGATCTGAAAAACGCTCAGCATATGCTGAAAAAATTTCATACATTATTTAATTGTTTCAAAGGGTAATAACTGGCGAGAAATCATTTATCCATTCAATGGAGGAACCCAAAGGATTCAAGTCAGAAAGTATGTGCATCGCGGATATTATTCAAATAGTGATTTGAGTATTGGAAAATTAGTTGAAAGAACTGTTTTTTATCTGAGCTGGGTAAATTTTAACGCGAAGAGAACAATAAAATTCTTAAATGGATACAAATTTTTCATAAAAATTATTAATCAACATACTTATTGAACATGGCTCGTAAGTTATTGGTTTCAAGTTTGCTTGGAAGATAGAACATTTCATACAAATATCAAAATATATAACGAATCTTATATATAAATCGAATACCATATATAGATGATCTGAATTATGACCACAACCAGGATTGAGAATTTTCTGATCCCAAAATTGGAATATAAAATTTAAAACTAAATTTTGAATACCATAATCATAATTAAAAATTGATAAAATATTTTTTAATATAATATAAAAATCAGAGTAAAAAATAAAAAATATTTTTTCAAATCAGAAACTGGTATGAAAAGGGATAAAGGCGCGCACTTAACATGAAAGCTTAAAAACGCTATATTTGGGAATTAATATTTTAGGAAGAACAAGAAAATATTTGAAGAAAAATAATAAATATTTTTTTAATTACAAAAATTGAAAATGGCAGCGTTTTTGAAAAAAAGTTGTATACTAACCCAAATTTTTGTTTTTTTTACAAAAATAACCGAAACTTTTACAAAAATAACCGACATTTTCAAAATTTTAATTATAAACTTGGGATTAATTTTTTCTAACCGCCATTAAGGGTTAAAATTTTAATTTTAGTCCGATTTTTGGGATTAAAAATTAGTTTTTTTTTTAATCTGGTATTTGGGTTTAAAAGTTTAAAAAGTATTTTCATCTAAGACTTTCGGCATTATTAAATAAAAAAAAATTATTTAAACTTTAATTTAATTGGCTTTTTAATACAGCCATTGCAGCTCGGCAAGCAACAATGTTATTTCTCTAAAATGTGGCAAGCCATTTTTAAGACAAGAGTTATTAGTTTTAATACTATTTTTCAGCTCGATCACGTTTTATTGAATGTAATTTAATTCAGATTTAAGCACAATTACTCTGCACAATTTTCGGCCACAAATAGTCTGTTGTCATTGTATTAATATTAACTCTCACAAATTTTTATTGCTTAATTAAGCTTTAATAGCAAGTTACTATGATTTTTTAATTAATTCATTAATTTGTTCTATATGTCTATATATTTGCTTAAATAATAATTACTTTTTAATACATTTTTTTCGTGTTTTATTGTCACGTTTTCAAGTGTCACTCTACTTCCGCTGTATTGAAAATTTAATGCATTTTCAAAAGACTTAAGACACGAACTTGCTTTGGCAAAGTAGAAAAACCGAAAAAAACTTGTTAATATATGGTTATAAAATTGTAATAATGGAAAATAAACTCAAACTTTGGCACGTATACAATTTTTTTCGTATTAATTTTTTTCCTGTTACACAAACACACACACGCACGGAAATATACGCAGGTAATTATTTGGCGCGCACACAATTAGCATAATACACACGAATGCTGCCAAAAATAGCTGCCGATCGGAAAGTTATGCTCATGTGGCGATTTGTTGATAAACATACACACTTTATTTGCACAAACAAGAATGAAGCGTGGAAGAGGAAAGAATATATGGCAAAATTTGCATTTACAAAGCGGAGACAGAGAACTTAAATAAAATTAATGAGCAGCGACACAAGAAAGGCGAATACACAGCACAGCAAGCTATATATTAATACAAAAACAACAGTAACAACAATAACGAAGACACCAAATGCTTTCCTGTGCCGCAAGCGCTGCGCGACAGCTATAATAATCAATAAATATTAATGCGATTGCCGGAGTATTTCGAGCTGACCGATTCACTAAGGGCACGTAGTACGCCGATTTGTATATTTGTATAACCCAAACAATTCCGCACCAAAAAATAATTTTAACTTAAAAACACTAAACACATATACCTATATATAGATTATAACGGCTATCGCTGTGACGTGACACTGTCACTAGGCCATGCCGCGGTGACATATGATACAAGAATGGTTAACACTTTGACACGCTATGTTGTTGTATGCATGTTTTCCAACACAAATGATGCATGCATATAACAACAACAAAAACACAACATAATTTAATTATAATTTTTTGAAGAAATTTTGTGTTTTTGGAATAATAGTATTATTATAAATAAATTTGATTGTTGAATTAATTTTGTGATATTTTAGATTTACTATTCCAACTCCGCCACAACACACGCTGACCGCCACGAAACTAAAAAGTATTTACGGATATTTTATTATTCACACGTCGAGTTTGCAGCGCATAAAATTTTATTTAAATTTGTTTCACGCCGCGCTTGCGTGCTTCCACTCATTTCACTTTAACGCCGTCTTCAAGTTGCAGATACAGCGAGCGCTCGCCAAGCATGTCTCGATCGTGCCACGCCGAGTGATTAACTGAGGTGATTTCGATAAATTTTTGGGTGGTTTACCGCTTTGATGCCGAACGCGCTGCTCAATATCTTCATGGCGAGCAATAATAATAGCTGAAAACCAGCTAGCTAAGCGGTCGATACTGCCCACAAGTGGCGGAGAGTAATAACACATACACATACAGATATACCTCTTCATATGCGCATATTTATGTGTTTATGCGTTAGTGGATAGTTGCCGAGCGAGCGCGTCCACCAATCGATGGCTAAGAGATGCAGCAGCGGGAAGAAAGCATTGTGTAAAGTGTGATCAAGCATCGATCTCACCAAGCATAGTCGAAATACACACACATACAAGCATATATTATATGTGCGCATATGTTAGCTGCTTGCGTGTTTTATCGTGTGCTGAAGAAAGCTGAAAGTGGTATTTTTGCTTGAATTTCGATTTTTTTCTTGCGTATTTTTCGAGTTTCCTTAAATGTCCGCTGATTTTTTTCGGTGGAATGTTTTTGTTGAAACTAAAAGTTGTCGACGCTTGTTCGGTGGCCACTCAGCGCCTGGGACGGCGCAGTCGATGCTATTTTATGATAATTTCTAAGCAATGTAGCCACCATCATCGCCTGTTTGTAAGACTGGCTTGTCTGCCAGCGTGTGGTTTATTGCAAACTTAAGTACTTTGCTCGCCCACCTATTTGACTTGTTTACGTAGCCATCGTAATTTGTCTACGCATTGTTGTTAATTTAAATTTGAATAACACTTTACATTTTAATGGATTTCTAAAAAATATACTGAAGTGGTTGAAGAAAATACAATCCAATCAGTAGGAAAAAATATATATATATAGAAGTAAGAAAAAATATATAAATAGGAATATATATGGTATGTATACTTTACTTATTTTTAAGAAGCTTAATTAGCATCTTCTGCTCCCGAAAAATACAGATACCCATACGTTTTTTATTTACAATGAACGGCTGATGTATTTTATGAAGTTTCTTTATGTTAAATATAGCCTCTGACTGACAGCTGACAGTATAAATTTCATTCACTAACTGATGACAATTTTTTATTAAATTCTGCAATGAATACTTTTTCACTAATGCTACTAAAATTCTGTAAAATAAAATTAAATAGCCAAAACATTGAGTGATGGTTGTGACATTATATACATAGATTCTAACATTTTATTTGTATTAAGGAGCTACCACTTATGAATTAGAAAAAAATTTCAAACAATGATTGAAATAATATGATTTTCGATTGCAATTTCGATTTTTTAAGCAATTCTGAATTTGATTTTTTCACAAAAAACATTTTTTTTTTGGGAAGCATTTTGGTCAAAAATATAAATTTTGACTAGTTGGGATGTTTGATCATTACCTGTCTTTATCTATATTTATAATATATATATTTTTTTTTGGTTTTTGGATTTGACATAACTTTAAGCAGAAAAATCTTTCTAACCGCCAGACACCTTTTTCGGAGCCCCTCCTAGAGATCGGCTCCGGAATCCAAAATTTTTCAAAACGAACCGTCGTTTTCTATTAGTTATTTATTAACATTACAAGACTGCAGGAAAGAATATAAAAATAAAAAAGTAAGCATAATCAAGATTTCAAAGCTCCTAGCAATCTGAAACCAAAAAGAAAACTATTAATCTAGAATTATGTCGCTATGTCTGGAACTAGTTGGAAACCAATTTTTTTCACAAAATGGCAACTGCTTGAAAAAAGCATTTTTTGACTGTTTCGAATTTTTTAAAAATAATAAAACTTGAAATTTTGGGATTTTACTAGATATGATAACTTAAAAAATTCAGATAAATCGGTCCAGTAGTGCCGGAGAAATCGTGTGCAACGTTTTGAAAACGACTGTTTCGAAAAAATTCGTTAAACGTTTCAATTCCGACCGAAGCAGTTTGGGTGCCGAGTCAGCGAAATACTTACATCTCCGAAAATATTTTGAATTTA